GTGGAAGGTGAAAACAAGACACCAAATGAGGAGAGAAAACCACAAAGCAAAAACTCAGCAAGGTGTGGAAGTGGAAGCCAGGGAACACCAAAGCTGCAGGAAGCTGCTGGAAGCACTGCATTTCAATTAACCATCCCCACATTCCACAAGCACTCCACCAGCCTGGTTTCACTCCCTGGAAAGGTTTGGGTTTGTCAGAGTTTTTTCTACCCTCCAGACACATGTGGCTTACTGAAGCAGAGACAGAGGGACGTTAAAAAAGGAAGGTCACATTCCAGCTCCTTCTTTCTAAAGGCTGTCTGGACAGAGGTAGGATAGCTATTGCCCCTTTCTCCAGCAACATCCACCTCTGTAAGCAGATCTTTACAAGAGTCATTTAAAACCACTAGTTATGTAAAGGTGGCACCAAGTCCTCAAATACTAAATTTTAAAACATCTGTATTAACCTTACTTGTACATCAGCATTTCCCTGTATCATTTTCTGATACAGAGAATGAAATCTGAGTTATGACATCTCCAGGAAGGCTTCCTCCAGATGTAGCTTTAAAACTGACACAAATAAACCAAAGAACCTTAGAGTCAAAGTGCTTTTGAAAAACAAAAGAAGAGATGAGAAAGTGAACTAAAAAACCAGAGCTTAAACAAGCCCCATGCCTTACATCAGGAATAACACAGTTATAATACCAAAAGTACTCAGAAAACTGACCTCACACACAAGCAGCTCCTGCTATTTAGAAAAAGCAAATCGAGCCCGCTCCCTGAACCCGTCCTGCTGGCTGACAGCCCACAGAGAGGGTCTAGAAGCTTCACTAGGAGGCAGTTTGCTTCCATCTCTGACAACAGAGATTTTGGTAAAATCCCAACTGCTGAAAATCCAGCAAAGATTCTGGGGCAAGGAGTGGACTGAGCCGAGTGTCAAGTGCTGCCTCCTCTCCGCGACAGTCTGATCCTGCCAAGCTGGACAGCAGCACGGAGCATGGCACACAGCCCCAGCCATCAGCACACCGTAAGCTCAGGCTTGTTTAAGTAATAAAATCTTACGCAACACACTTCCGCAGAGGAAAGTAAATATTTGCTGTTTAACAACCAAATCGAGAATGTTTTGTTTTCAAAAGGTTGTTCCCCTGAACAATCCCTCCACAGTCAGGAACATCTGAGGCTCCACCTGCCCTCTCGGTCAGCCCATGCCACCAGCACCCTCAGCTCATCGCAAGGTGTGTGCTATCCCACCTGTGACCCTGCCCAAACTAACAGACAGAAAATGCAACAACCACACGACAAGGTGCCCGGCCCCTGCACCAGCCACACACCAAACACAGGCACCGCTCTCTGCAAAGCTCACGGTTACAGGTACCTGCCCATGAGAACACAGAAACAAAAGCAAGGTTGTCCATGCACATCCTTTCTATTTTGAACTTTGAATTAGAAAAAGAAAGTTTTTAAAAAAGCCCCCCCCATCACCTCCCTGATGAAGTTCAGAGCTGTCACAGCTGCCAAGATGGCACCGCCGAGGGTCAGTCCTCCCAGCTCAGCTCAGATACACAAAACGTAGCAGGAACTACAAAACCCACAAACCCTCTGCTGCAGGATGGCAAGAGCCACTTGGTCACTGAGCCAGCCTCATCCTGCCCCAGGAAACCAGAAAAGAGGAAACTCACCCGAGTTCTCCAAGCCGTGGAACTCTTTTCTGCAGCCAGGGGACAGCGGCGCCAGCCTCATTCCAAACCTCACCTCCCGCCAGTGATCCCCTGCTGCTCGCGGGGCACAAGAAGCCCCGACCGAAGCTCAGCACGGAGCTCCAAGGCTGGGCAGGTCTTCAGAGCCCTGTGCTCCTGCTCACGAGGCTCGTCGCTGCTGCACCGCGCTGGGGGGATGGAGCAGGCGGCTTCCCAATGAAAGCAGCGCAGCCGGCCCTCGAGCTGCCATTTACATCGGCTTTTAACTCATTAAAGTAACAAAAATCCAAAGCAACTCGTGTTCTCTCCTCCAACATCTGTACTACTGGTGAAACACTCTGCTTGAATCATGCTTTAAAACCATTCCCACTTAAGTTTCTGACAGGTGGAGTTTAAGTTTAAGGAATGAATGGTTTATATCGCATCTCCTTGAAAATCCACCACAGAAGTAGGTCAGCGGGGGAGCTGCTCTGTGACTTACTACGAGAGCATCCCAGCTGCTGAGGCAGAGCCAGGAATGCTCTGTTCCCACCTCCGTGATGCTGCCGTGCTGTGCACGGGCACGGAGCAGCAGCAGCTCCGGCCCAGCCAGCAGAGACACCGGGCAGCAGCGCCAGGCTCAGCGGGCGCCTCTCCAGCAGCTTCGGCACAGCCCTACTCGGCAGAGCAAACCCATCTCCTCAGCAAGGACACGTCTAACCTGCCCCCAGAAACCAGCCACCAACACCAAACCTGCCAAAATTGCAATAAATAACAAGCAGAAAGGACAAATTACCTTCCCAGTCAGGGAGCACTGATCTGCCTGGTCCGTGGAGCTGCGGCCTCACAGGGCTGAGCACACCAAAACCTGGGCTTTACGCAGGAAAAATCCATCCTATGTTGGCACAGGAAACCCGAAAAGTGAATGGAGCCTGGGTGTGCTCTGGTGACAGTACTGTCACCCCCAAGAGAACTGAAACGTCACAATGTGAGCCAGGAAGCCCAGGTGAACGCTCACTTTCTCCTCACTCACGTCCCTGTTAACCAGGGGGCATTTCCTTACTTCAGTGCAGTTAATCATGTACTTAAAACCAAATGAGGAAAGAATGAAGACTGGTGTTTTCCACACCATAGAAAAGATCTAATTAATGGATTTGGGAGCATAAAAAAGATAATAAAATATGAAGCTAACAACACTCAAAATCACTGCTACTACTTAAAAATTACATTTTTGCAAAGCCTTTGGCCCTCACACCACTGGACACAGTGCAGGCAAAACTCAAGAGAGGTGGCCATACCCACGGAAGCTCTAATGCCACCAAGTTACAAGAAACAACCCAAAAAAATATATTCCCAAAGCAATCTGAGCAAAAATCCAGACAAAAAGGTGGGATAACCATCCTTGTATTCTAAGCAGGGATTTCCCGCTAAAGAACGCAAATGGGCTCATCAAGGTAAAGACGTGCGTTTGCTGCGGCGAATAAGGAAAAAAAATCCATATTAGTAACTAAACACCTTTCTTTACGGTGCCTAACTACGACCAGGCCAATCCCCGGGGTGTCGGCGCGTTCGCCCGGGTTTAGGTCGGGGATGTGAACGGCTCTCCCTCCGCCCGCTCCTCCCGCCCCTGTCACATGGAAGCGCCGACAGCGGTACCGGCCGCGACCCCCCCGCCCGGCGCCGTCCGGGGCAAACTTCGCTCCAGCAAGGCGGAATTACCGACCCGGCCCGGGCCGCGGCCGCGCTCCCGCCGTGCCGGGGGCAGGAGCGGCGGCGGAGCGGAGCTTCCCCCTTGCGGGCGCGCCGGCCCCGCTCCCGCCGCGCCGACAACTTTCGGCCCGAGCCAGGCCCGCCGGTGCCCCCGGCCTCGCGCCCCGCTCACCTCCGCGCTCGCCGCTCCGCCCGCCCCC